TCACTGTAGGGTGCGTGTGCTCGCCAGGCAGACAGAGAGAGACATAGAGACAGAAAGCGAGAAATCACCCCCCAGGGGGGATGGTCATGCCGCAATCACTTCTCCTCCATTCTCCTCTCGGGATCTTGGGCACGCACGCACACGCGCCCGGCGTGAGTTTTAAGCCACCGGGTCCGGGACACGAACCGCAGTCGACTACGTGGGAGTCCAGCGACATAGCCATTACGCTAACTGCTGGTTCCCCTTGCTGTTTTCATTGCAGTTGTAATCTGCTGAATGAGAGATGCTGGTCTAATGCCCTTTCGTCATTGGGGTGGTAATTGCCTTTTGTGAAGTATTTAGGAACACTTATGAGAGGGGGCCAGAGTTGGTCAGAATGCCTGAGAGGTACTCAGTATAGCATGTTTACAAAGAATTTAGTCCTGCCAGAATGCCAGTGCCCACCCATGAGTGACACTGCTGTACATAACTTGCAGAGAGTGATACTAAATTGGTGTCCAGCTTTTAGGAGAATAATATTCATGTATGCATGTAACTAAAAATTGGAAAACTTGTGTTTTTTATACCGTGTCCACACACTTTTGTTTGCTCCTATTTTAAGATAAATTTCAGGTATACCATTTCCTCTGTAAAGTTCATGTGAATTAGACCTAGACCTTAATCTCTTCTAAATCTACCTCATAATCTGAAAGCCACAGAGGAAATGCCATGTTTTTTGTTTCCTAGGGCTGTTAACAAATTCCAACCAATTTGGCTTAAGACAGCATTTATTCTCAAGTCTGAAACCAAGGTGTAAGGGCCCTGCCCTCTCCCTGAAGGCTCTAAGAATACTGGTTTGTCTTGGCCTGTCTTCAGACAAGCCCTCTTTGGCTTATGGCTACTTTAGTCCAGTCTCTCATCACATGTCCCTCTTCCTTCTATGTCTCCTCTTAACTAAATTTACACCTCATTTTAATCCACTGTAACTTTATTTTGCCCGCTTTTTCTGCAAAGACCCAGTTTCTTCACAATGGAAAAATCAGAAGGCACTGAACTGCCAGCTGTGCCTGTTGGGCAGTGTGGAGAGCAGCCAATTTGAAAACATGTAGTTAAGACATGTGGCCTGTAGACACGTGCAGAAATGGGCTTTCATAAGTTACTCTAGCAGGGCTATTCAAAAGCATCTTTATATACGAAAGCAGTTATCTGCCTGTTGTCAGTGGTTGTCTTTTTATTATTGTTAATACCCAAAACCCCAGTACTGCCTTGTATTGGGCTAAAGTAAGTCACCTGTGTTTATTAAATTGTCTCCACCCCCCACCCCGAAAAAAATTAGAAAATTATATAGCGCCAGTCATTTTCACATCTTTAGACAACTTACATCCAAAAACAACTGGCTTTGCATTGCAATTTCTCCTCCCTGACTCTCTTTGCATTCCACTTCCTCCTTCCCCATTCCTTCCACATCCCATTTTCCCCTTTAAAAGAATAAACCTAAGGCTGGTTCTGGTCACAATTTCTCCATCAGAGAAGCTGTGCCCATGCAATCCTCGCTTTTCTATCCTCAGGTGTCTTTGTGTATTTGTTAATGTGTCTATTTCTAAGCCACAGCCTTCCCCCTCAGAGAAACGTGTTCATGCCAAACTAGGCCCAGCAAAGTGGCGCCCAATACTAGGCAGTATTAGAGTATTGAGTATTAATAATAAAAAGACCACCATTGACAACAGGCAGATACTGCTTTTACATGTAAATGCATCAAATAGCCCTACTAAAAGAGCTTATAAACGCATGTTTCTGCATGTCTACAGGCTACATGTTTTAATTGCATGTTTTCAAATTGACTACTCTCCACAGGGCAGTGAGAAGAATGATCACGCTTTTTCAGTGGGTTATTTGTCTATCCCAAGTTTTCTATTCTTGGTGTGCCTCTGCCCCTGAACAAAAGTTTCTTGGAGAGGATTTTGTTATAGGGTGTGTGCATTCGAGAGAGGCAAGAAAGAAAGAAGTCTCTCCCCAAGAGTGATGCCCACACCACAGTCTCTTCTTCTTTCTCTCAGGATTTGGGGCACGCAGACGTGCCCAATATGAGTTTCAGGCCACCAGGTCTGGGACTCAAACTGCAGTCTGCCATGTGGGAGTCCAGCCCTCTACCACCATGCTACCTGCTGGCCTCTCTATTTAATGGTTAGACTTTCCATCTGGAAAGGTGCGTTTGGGAAGGGCTAATCTGGGAAATTGTAAAGTACTACATCATTGTAGCCCAACTCTGGGCTTTTTGGATAATGAAGCAAAACCAGATCCAAGTCTTAATTCTGAAATCTCTCACATCAGGGTGTGGGGCGAAGATATGCTCATGTGGTGTTGAGGAAAGCAGACATTGACCTCACCAAGCGGGCAGGAGAGCTCACTGAGGATGAGGTGAGGACAGTTGGGGGATGGTTTCGGGCTCCGGGGCGGGGGGGGGGTTCCTATCTAGATCTGACCTTGCCCTGTCCACCAGGTGGAACGTGTGATCACTATTATGCAGAATCCACGCCAGTACAAGATCCCAGACTGGTTCTTGAACAGGCAGAAAGATGTAAAGGATGGAAAGTACAGCCAGGTGTGTGTGATGAGTGGGGGTTCCGGTTGGAGATAGGCATAGGAGGGCAGGGAGTAAAACATCCCTTGTCCCCACCTTCAAATCTAGGTTCTGGCCAACGGTCTGGACAACAAGCTGCGTGAAGACCTGGAGAGACTGAAGAAGATACGGGCCCATAGAGGGCTGCGCCACTTCTGGGGGTGAGTCGGGGATAAGGGGTCACATCTCTTGCCTGCCCCTACACTCCCATCAGGATTCCTCATGCTCATTCTTTCATACCGTCGTATTTGTTCATGGTATGTATGTCTGACCTGTAGCCTTTTTCTTTTTTTACCTACAGCCTTCGGGTCCGAGGCCAGCACACTAAGACAACTGGCCGTCGGGGCCGTACCGTGGGTGTGTCCAAGAAGAAATAAGTCTGTAGGCCTTGTCTGTTAATAAATAGTTTATATACCTATGGCTTCTTTTTGTGCTTCTCTCCATTCTTCTGATGACCCTTTCAGAAGGAACATTAAGATGGTGGGGCCTGGGACCAGGAGATAGCATAATTGTTACTGGGCTCCCATGTAGTCTGTGGTTCGAGTCCCAGACCTGGCAGGTTAAAACTCAAATTGGGCATGTGTGCTTGCATTCCCAAAAGGGTATGAATAAAGGAGGGATTGCCGTGTAATCATCACTCTTGGGGGGTGATTCCTGTGTTTACAGTGAGTGAATGTGCCCTACAGCAGAAATCTTTTTTAAAAAAATGCTGGGCCCTGGAAAAGGAATGGGTTTCTCCCTTTCCATTTAGTTGGCGATGTTCACCTTCAGCTGGGGAATGCCATGGGTTTTGGTCACAGCAAGAGTGCTAGTGTCACCCCTGACCCCACCCCTAAAATACACACCTGGAACTGTAGCTAGAAATGGCCTGCCCCATTAAGTATGTACGAGTAGGGCGGGGCCTGACCACAGCCAAGACCAGTGCACTGTGGTTGATGTGCAAGGCAGTTGCACAGTGGGTGAAAGCCTAGCCAGATGAAACTAGTGAATTATTTGCAGGTCTTAACCGCTCTAGGGGGTCTAAAATAGAGTCCTGTATCTTAGGTGAAGTCGCAGGTCTTGTCAGGCCTTTGGGGGGGACCAGCAGATGGCGTAGTGGTTACGTAGCCGGGCTCCCACATGGCCGATCACAATGGTTGGTCCCATAGAAACTACGGCGTGCGCGCCCAAGATCCAAAGACAAAAGGGGATTGTGTGGCCATTCCCCCTGTGGGGTGATTTCTCGCTTTGTGTCTCCAGCCAGCGCACGCGCCCTATAGCTGGAAGAAAATTTCTAAATTAAACCTTTGGGAATTTTCCTGCCTGGTTCAATGGGCACTGGTTTCAGCAACCCGGAAGGGATTGGCTTCCAGAAGGTGAAGCACGTGAGCCAGTCGGGGTGGGAGTCGCTGTGCGTGGCTGGGTTGCTCCGAGGCCACTTCCGGCGGGGATGCTGCGAATGCGCAGTGGTCGCGGCAGACAACCGCGCCGGGGAACGGCAGGGGAGAGGCGTCTGGTGCCACTACCCGCGCGCCATGGAGCCGAGCTCGGCGGCAGCGAGGCCCCCGCCACAACCGCGCCCCGCCAGCCGCCCGCGCTGCCCCTCCCCAGGGCGCGCTGGTTCCCGCACCGCGCTCCACCTGCTCCAGCCCCGCGGTGGGTCAGGTGGCGCCAGCTTGCCCGCCGCTAACCAACTGCCTTTCCCACAGATTCCCTCTGACTGCGCCACGCCATGCCCCTCAGCCCCTTCCGGCGCCTTCTCCTAGTCGCGCTGCTGCTGGCGATCGTCTGGGCGCTCTTTGGGCCCTCGGGCATTGGGGAGGAGCTGCTGAGCCTAACGCTCAGCTCCCTGCTCCCAGCCCCGGCCTCTCCCGGGCCGCCCCTGGCCCTGCCGCGCCTCCTGATCCCTAACCACGAGGCCTGCGGTGGTCCAGGCGCCCCTCCCTTTCTGCTAATCCTGGTGTGTACTGCTCCGGAGAATCTGAACCAGAGGAAGGCCATTCGGGCCTCGTGGGGAGGGCTGCGTGAGGCCAGGGGGCTCAGGGTGCAGACGCTCTT